ATTTTTTTCAAAAGCTTTCATTTTGTTCAATTTAATTTGTTTGATCATTCGAATCCAAAACAATTGTGCTGATTTCAGTTGAAGATTTAATGTTGAAATATGTTTGTATCGAATAAACTATAAATATTAATTTAACCTGATATATGGCCAAAATGCTGTAATGTGCTTTTCTGAAACAGCGATACAATATCTGCAAGAAAAAATTATTCAACATTGTTCAACAATATCTACCGGCTAACAATATCAGGCATTTTTATTTACAAATTTGATTAGTCTAATTTATCTATTTCCGTCACATGTGTTGTTTGAAAGTGTTGCAGATTGATTGATGTTGATTCACAGACAAATTATCTGTTAAGATTTATTTTATAGTTGGGAATTTTATTCTAATAATTCTACCATCAACAGATGAAATGAGCAGCAGAATGTGAAAGAATGCAAAAGGAGAGTATTGATCCGAATACTTGATCGTTTATATCCTCAATATTGGGCGGTATCATGATAATAAATAATGGGCTTAATAGGTAATCCCAAGGTCAAACAGTGTCATGTTGGGGAAGAAAGAAACAATGGGAAACGAGAGGATCGTATGATTACTTGTTAGCTACATTGGTTTCACGTAAAAGAAAAAGAACAATCAAAGAACAAATCGTGGTAAAGCTATTTCTCTCAGTGATATTATGGCAACACGAAGAGGTCATGACAGAGGTCATGACAACAAATAAATTTTAATAAAGATAAAATTATAAAACGCAGCTTTCTCAGCCAAGCTATCAGTGACATAATTCTCAATCCATGTGAATAACTTTATCACAAAATTTCGGATCTTCCGACAACATGACCTTTTTCACAAATATTGTCAGTGTGAACAACCACTATCAGTGTTTTTAAGATAGGAAAGAAATATGTGAGATAGAAAAGATTGGAATAGCTGCGCTATCCTAAAATTTCAAAATACGATTTTGGACTATAGAAATTCAAAAAAATTATGCTATCCTAAAATTTCTGAAATCACATGAAATAAATACAATAATAGTGGAATAAGAACAGTTAAAAACAAATGCATTACTAATTTCGTTACAACCAATTCTAAAAACATAATTATTTTAATTCACTTCTATCTTATAAAAATACAACATATTAACTATTTTAAATCATTTTTGAAGTTTAAATACTGATAAATGAAAATTTTTTAAAATATCGAAATTGAAAACCCATAATTTATGAATTCTGATCACAAATGTATGGTAAATGACAACTTACGATATGATAAAAGCGGAAACACTTGATAGAGATGTGAACAGAGGAATAATCCAAACTTTTTTCAGTGCCATTTTCCTTTGTGCATTATTCGGTTTTCTTTCAGTTTAAATTCAGTTAATGTTCATCTCTTTTCATCTAAACACTATCTAAAAGAATCAAATAAAAAATATCAGACAAATCACGCGAAAAAATGTTAGGAAAGCCAAAAAGGACGAAGGAAAAGCAGTTGGCTCAAAAAATCTTCCACAAATATGCATGTGTGTGTACGTGTGTGTAT